GCTATAATTGAATCGTGAATTGTCTTCGTGGCATCGAGGTAAGTGTTTGGTCTAACATTAGCTTGAGGGATTAGGAGTTGTGTCCTATTTGCTACTTGCTTCTTGTTGAGTACGACGTATAGGCATGGTGACGAGTATCTATACGTTGGTGTCGAGCATGACCGTGAGTCTTAAATTGCAACTTGTTGCGTTCTTAAATGATACTACGGATGCTTTAATTGATGACTCTCGATATTGAGCAAGGATTAAGTTTGTTTTCGTGGAAATTACTAAGTTTGCGTATTGGTGATAGCTGAAATGGTTAGATGTTGGATTAAAATTGGTTATAGCTATTCCTCCCTTGTCGGAACGTATTTATTTATGCTATCGATTCCCTTGCCGAGATAGTGTAGTTCGTTATTGATCTCTTGCCGGGATTATTGTTGACTGTATATATGGATCGGGTTGCACGCCGAAACAATTATTATATTGGATCGGGTTTCACACCGCAACAAATATTATATTGGATCGGGTTGCACGCCGCAACAGTGTTAAATGATAAGGGATCGGGTTGCACGCTGCAACAGTATTATTATTGTTTTGTTGTAGATTTTAAATCGTTCCCTCATATTTCTCTTAAGTTTCTGTTGGATTTGATATTTTTTCCCGTAGCATGTACCCCCTTCCCATTTAGATTGTTTATTCCTATTTATTTTCCATCGTATATTATATAACTGCACAGGATTATCTGAAATCTGGTCCTAGCTTCGTCACTACCTCGCCGGGGTTAGGCCAAGCACTTACCAGCACATGGGGTCGGTTGTGTTGGTGCTACACTCTGCACTCTGTGCAGATATCGGAGCAACACCGGGACAATAGTACTTGGGGAGCCAGCCTTCAGTCCACAGGGATACCGAGGTAGTCCTGCAGGCATCCGCAGGCCCGGCGTTCTCTTCTATCTATTTATATGTTCTGTTTTCACTTGTTTCCGAGGCAGACTGTATTTCCTTTTTCAGACACTTGTATGTAGTACTCATAGACAGTCTGTGATATTGTGATATCAATTTCTGGGTAGAGACGTATGTTGCCATTTTCGTACTGATTTTGGTATTATATTAGACTAAGTCTTCCGCTTGATTTCATCTTTCGCTATTATTAAAATGTTGATTACCTGCTAATTCAATTCGTTAAGAAGAGTTAAAAATGAAAAAGATTGAATTTTCTATATTTCGTGGCTTGCCTAGCTTATACGAGTAGGCGCCATCACGACTCCCGGGGATGGAAAATCCGGATCGTGACACCAACACTCTGCACACCCTTGAAGATATCCTCTAAATCATGATTATAAGTGTTTATATATAGCTTCTTAAATGAAGCAAACCCTCATGCCTAAATATACCAGAAATGGAATGATCAGCCAAGAAATAAAACGGCAAGAGATCTGAAACGGCAGCTTCAGATGCAACATATCAGGCATAACTTGGCTTAAAGTTCCGCTTGAAAGTCTCGTGTCTCGTTCCCTGTTAAGTAACAATTCCTTTTTATCCAAGTACGAATATTTTTCACAACAGTGGTGTTCCAAGCAATTGCATTCACATCGACTATTCTTCCGGGTTCCTAATACTTCCAACTCGTAGAGATAACGAATAACTCTGTCCATCACGGCTTAGAAAGATGGAACACCTCGTCTATTCCACTAAGTATCTGCTACTTCAAGTCTGCACAAATACTAGATAACTCTACCCTCCAAGACTTATACAAAGGAAAACAATATCACCCAACTTCCATTAATTAAGTTCTTTCAAAGTGTAGAATATTTCTTGAAACAAAATTAACAACACATTCTAAAGTCACCTAGTGCCTATTAAGGTTGTACTGTGGGCCGATCTGGGCCCAGGACCAGCCCAGGACCGCGGTCCAAACGGGCCTAACGAGCCTAATGGGCCGGTTCAAGTGGGTCTGGGCTTAAGTGGTGCAAAAGCCTGTGACGGGCCGGTTCAACACCAATAGCTCGTGAGCCCGGGACCGGCAGGCGGACCTGGACCGATTCAACCGGACCCAACGGGCTTTTTTTTAAAAATGCCCAACGGCTAGATTTTAAAATCTGACCGTTAGGCTTCAAAATTGGTCCGTTATGCACTTTAAAAAATAGTCATTTGGCCCCCAAACTTTTTATAATTACATTTTTTTCCCAATTCTCAACTATAAATACCCCCCT